GCTGGTTGCGCCATCTTCTCCTAGAGCTCCATCTATCGCTACCCTCCGCCACGGTTGTCTTTTGTGACAATGACAGTGTTGTATACATGACATCTAACCTCGTTCATCACCACAAGACCAAGCACATCAAGATCGAGATTCACTTTGTCCGTGAGAAGGTCACGCTTGGTGAAGCTCGTGTTCTGCATGTGCCTTCCTCACACCAGTTCGCAGATATCATGACTAAGGGCCTGCCTATATAGTTATTTATGATTTTCGGTCTAGTCTATGCATCTATGAACCTTCGCTACAACTATGGGGGTGTTAATATGTATATATTTAGGGATCTAACTACAATTGTACTAAAGTCCTTGTGACTATATATATGAAAGTCACCCCTCCCTAATGGGTGTGAGGTGTTGTCCCTATTCCTTTCTACACTAACCCTTGGGTTTCTTTTTCTTCCTCTCTTTGATTCTTTCTCTAGTGTATGGAGTTACACGTAGTTTCCTGAGTACTCCACTAGTTGATGGACTAGTGAAGCGAGGTCCAGGCTCTTTAGGCACAAAGATACTGCCATCGCCAATGGCTTCATCTATCGACTCCTATGTCAATTTCCTTAGTTCAGGGTCCATACTTCCATGTTGGAACATACCAATGAGGCAGCCATCCACATATAAATATACAAACACATCAAGAAGACCATCGAGACAATTGAACTAAGTTATTTCCGCAATCATTTGTAAGGAAATCTGTGTCCTCAACAGAGTATAGTGACTGTCAGCTAGCTGCTCGATCTCTGGTTATTTCTAGTCCGCTTGGACCAATCCCCAAGCACATCATCAATAAAACCCTGCATCATGTTATAGTGGCTCATAAATACCTTCCAAGATTTAGCTTCCATTACCAAGATAACAGTAGACCAAATAAAGATGACATTCCAGGAGGATCATAATTAATGGCGACTTGGGTCGTGATAGTTACTCATCACATCGAATAGACATCATATAGCATATATATTCACAACTGTACTTCCACTGACATTGGGAGATATGGACTTGTGATTGCCATTAAAGTGAAGTACTTTTGTGTATGCACTGTCCATATATAAACCCTCAAGTTCCAGTGACTTCACTTGAAAGAAACCATTTTTTGTGCAGAACCCAATTAGCCATGTTGTTATTGCTTCAATTACAAATGCAATGTAGCGCCTTTTGTAGTGAAGAACATAATAAAATGTGTCACATATTAGAGTTGTAAACAAAAGTCAATCCCCATAACGAACATGAAACCAGGAGTTGTATAGCCTCCAATAGTACAAATGGCATTGGCATTTGAAGTACGTCTCCTTGAACCCTTTGGTATCATCCAATGTTAGAGATATTGTGTTCTACAGCCAAAGTAAGTTTAAGATACCATGTCCTTGCATATGAATTTGCATCAAAGATATGAATAATTATTAAACAAAATGTGTCATCTGCAACATAGATTATAAAAATGGCTACATCTATTTTTCAAATACAAATATTTTTTTAAGAAAGTCTGTCAACAGCTCGTTATGGAGAAGATCTGAAAGAAACTTGGACTCTTAACAAGCTGCAAAACATGGTCATTATATCGTTGTACATATGATGAAATGACAGGAATAATGGAAACATGATTTGCAACTCAGGTATGAACAATTACACAAAATGTGTCATGTGCAACAGATATTATGAAGATGGCGGGCATATTCAAATGCAAATATGTTTTAAGGAAGTGTGTCAACGAGTCAATATATATGGAGGAAACTTGTTGCAATGCATTATGCTAGTGATGCCATGAGACAAATACTGCTTATGGAGTCAAAAGTTAAAAACATGGTTATTTTCTTGCTGCACAGCTAGTGAAATGAAAGGGATAATCCATGAGTGGGTGGAAACATAATGTCGGAAGATAGTGACTAAGATTTTGAGAGTTGATAAGCTTGTCCTTTTATTGTACATGCATACTGTAAGGATGATATCATCCACGTATACAACCAGGACTACAATCTGTCATCTAGAGTGTCGGTAGAAAACAGTGTGATCCCCAATTCACTGTTTGTACCCCATACCACGCAGTGCACGTCTAAATCTATCAAACCATGCTCGTGAAGACTGTTTGAGACCATATAGAGATTTCTACAATCTACAAATCTTTTCGATTGTCTCAGAGCGAGAAAAACCAGGTGGAATCTCCATATATACTTCCTCTTGAAGCTCACCATGTAAAAAAAGCATTCTTTACATCCAATTGGTGCAAGGACCAACCAAAGTTTGCGGCACATGAAGTCAATATTCTTACTATACTCATTTTTGCTACTAGTCCAAATGTCTCATCGTAATGAATTCCATATGTTTGATTGTATCCTCTAGCAACCAATCTTACTTTATACCTTTGAACCTTTTCATCTGGATTTTGCTTTACGATGAAAACACACTTGCAACTAACAGCTTTTTTCCCATGTTTTTTCTTTTTAAGGGCTCTTAACCCATCTAGCATGGCCTCACGCCATTTAAGGTCTTGATTTGCTTATTTCCAGTCTTTAGGGATCATAATAGACTGCAATGATGCAATAAATGCTCTATATGTCGGGGATAATGATGCATAAGACACATAATTACTGATGTCATGCTCAAATCCTTACATTAACGGAGGCACACCGGTCTTAGCTCGCACTCCTTTCCGTAATGCAATTAGCAAATCATCCAAAATAGTCTTCAATCTCAGCTTTAGAAGTTGATGACACCTCAACAATCTCTTGAGGGGTTGAGGAAGAATGTTCATGAGTTGTTGGTGTAACTGTTGCTGGCTTCCTGAGATTTATACTTCCTCCTTGCATACACTTTCAATTGACCCTTATATCGTGGGTCAACAGCTCTAGAATTATCCTCTTGACATGGAATTGGATCCAAGTCACTCACCTCTACCCCTGTTCTTCATTGGGAACTCGAGCTACTAATCACTGCTTCCATTCTCCTTAGATTTTGCATAGCTGAGATAGATATCACATCATTTTTCTCCCCTGACTTCATCTAATTCTGTAGAATCAAACTTGGACATAAAACTCAAATCAGTATTCTCTCCAGAGAAGGGCACATGTTCCCTAAATGTCACATCCATGCTAACAAACAAGTATCGTTCACTAGCGCCCCGTTTGCTTGGCTTATAAACTATACTTTTTCAGCCAACGAACGATATTTTTCTCACAATAAATCAGCCAATAGTACTTTCAATCATGGCTTATCAGTCAAGCGAACAGGGCATATGACTCCAATATTTGTATCCCTTCAGTCCTGAAGAATACCCCACAAAGATGAATTTTATAGCACGTGGATCTAGTTTTCCCACCGAGAGTCTGGTCCCCACAAAGCATGTACATCCAAAGACTTTAGGTGGAACCACAAACTTACTCTCACCAAACAATATCTCACATGAAGTTTTCATCTCAAGTACTCTTGATGAGATATGTAGCTGTCAAACACAACTTTACTCCATAGGAACTTGGGCACATTCATACTGAACATTAATGAGCGAGCAACCTTCAAAATATGACGATTTCTCTCTCGGCAACACCATTTTGTGGAGGTGTATCAGGGCATGTAGTCTTATGCAATATACCATTTGCTGATAGGAATGCACTGAAGTCCTTGTTCACATACTCAGTCCCGTTATCAGTTCTTATTGTTTGAACCTAACTATTGAACTGAGTCATCACGAGTGCACAAAAATCTTTAAAGCATTTTAGCACCTCATCTTTGTGCTTCGTAAGATATACCCATGTCATCCGAGAAAAACAATCAATAAAAGTAACAAAGTATTTCATTCCACTAATGGAAACCACAGGACATGTCCTCCTGCTCATCGTCGTCGTCCTCCGCCGTCGCCGCTGCCTTCCGTTTCCTTGGATGCTCCGTGCTGCCACCGCCGGCGGCGGCGGCGGCGATGTCCATCGATCCGGATCTGAGTGGGCTGGTGCTTGCCTGCTCAGGAGGGTCTGGATCTGTGTCAGGACTCAGGATCCTCTGGCTGTGTTTTATGGTATGATCCGAAGAAGCCAGGAGGTATGAATCCGATTAGGATCTTGTTCCACGCAAAAAGGCCTTCCTTATTTATTCTAAAGATCTATTGTTTGCTCGCAAAAGAAAATTTATGTATTAATGCCTGCCTGGAGTCTTATAGATTGTTAAAAAGTGTCATGTTAGTGTTAATGTGTCCTGTGGTCCTGAATGGTTGTGATTCTGGGTCATTCCCATGATGATCTTCATTTTGTTGGCTCCCGTTATTTTCAAGCAGATATAAACACCATTAGTTTGATGCCAATGTAATTGAGTTATCTCTTTTGCTTAACTGGTTTTAATTTTCTTTCTTATGCCTGCAGGCTAAAGGAGTTACTCCATTTTTCGAACTAGTACTGCCTGTCGACCTGCTGCTTATTATGCTGTATTGAACAATGTTTTGACTATAGCATCAAAACACTTTGTTGGTCCTTTGCCAAAAAAAGATTGCCAAGCTAAGCTATCTTCATTTTTCAAAACCCAACTCTGTGTATCTATATCTAAATCTGGGAGATGGCTAAATGAGATGATTGAGCATTGGTACTACTGCTCCCTTAAATTCTTAAGTGACCTGTAATTTCTGGATTTGCTTCTTCATCAAGTTGTAAATTTTTATTTGATTTTAACATGTTTACAGTATGGTCAGCTACTCACGATTTTTTGTACTCTTTAATCTCATTATGATGCATATCTATAGGTTAGACAACTATAGATTTAGTTTATGTAACTTATTATGCCGATGTCAACTTTGTGTACCTCATTGATCTGGTCATTTGAATCAATATGTTATTTTTAACTGACAGTTATATGGCCAAAATCTCTATTCTCAATAATCAAACTAGGATGATTACAATGTACTAAAACACAAACAAAAAACAATTCATGCTGCTTCCAATTTACAGCCTATTTTTTGGTAGGAACCTAGTCCTTTAATTAGTTCCATCAGCGGCTCTCTACAACACTGCTACCAGCTAATGCAAGTGTGGACACCAGTGAGCTGCTCAGTGCAGGAGACATCGATGGGGATAAACTGAACTGAACCGGCTCTACTGTCCTCACTTTCAGGTCCATAACATCTGTGATCAGACCGGGCCTCATGATCTTGTCACTTACAGCACACTCACCCTTCAGCATCTTGGCGACCATTGACATGGAGGGCCTGATCTTGGGGCTATCCTGGGTGCACAGAAGACCTATTTTCAGCAACCGACGTGCTTCCTCAGTGTCAAAGTCGTGCTTCAGGGTCCTGTCAATGATGCTCTCAAGATCATCGGACTCAGAGAGTGTCCAGACCTGACAGAATAGCAGAAATTTCAGATGATTTAAATCAAAGTCTAAGATCTGATAGCACTAGCACTTAAGGTATTTCGAAGCTAGCAAGTTTGTAAAAGTCTGGTCGTTTGCTCTACTTTTACAAATCAGTCAAATCTCTCAGAACTCATCAATTTTTTAATGAATCAACTGTTTTCATAAGAACTGGATCAATACCTAAAAACTAGGAACACAATTCCTTAATTGAGAGGCAGAGCTCCTGCCAGGTTTTTTAAAAACAAACTAGGAACACAACGACCAATCAATGCAAGTAGTTCTTACTGCATAAATACAAGCAACACGAAAAGAATACCTTCCTTGAACTTTCCTTTGGAATTCTACCAACTCTAGCAAGTAGACTGTGCTTGTCCTTGTCTATATGTGATTATATAAATTGATCAATCATGCAAACAGCACCTCATGTCCTCATGCTACCTGATTCCTTATGGTCTAAATTAGGTAATCTGAATATAGCCATGTGTTATGTACTATAGTGCTTTTCTTCTTTGACAAAAAAGAATGGTCCTTCCTGTAGTTTGCTGTCTAAACTTTCTATTCATGAATCATAACCATATTCAAATAACTTACAATACTGTATCAAGCCTAAACTAATATTGGGATTGTTCTTCACCTTTTCTAGGAGGAACTGCTCGTCAAAAGGTAATCTGGGATCAGTGTGACATCTGCCACTAACAATCTCCAGCAGCAGTACACCAAAGCTGTAGACATCGGCCTTTTTGGTCAGCTGCCCTCGGATGGCGTACTCTGGCGCAAGATATCCTCTGAAAGAAGAGTACATGTCAACTCTGTATTCCTAATCATATGATGTATCTGCAAGATCAAAGGAGGACATGAACATCAACAGGTAGTGTGCCACTACTTACAGCGTCCCTGCAACCCTGGTGCTGATATGTGTCATGTTGCCTGGGAAGAACTTTGCCAGCCCAAAGTCTGCTATCTTGGGTCTCAGGTTTCTGTCAAGGAGAATGTTGCTCGCTTTGATGTCGCGGTGGACGATCGGTGGATGGACTTCTTCGTGAAGGTAGGTGAGCCCATCAGCAACACCAATGCAGATCTTCACCCTCGTTCTCCAGTCTAATCTGATGCCACTGCGGGAATTACCTGAAGAACACCATGATGCATCAGAGATCCAGATTCTGGCAGACCACATGCATCACATCACCACTGAAAATCTAGGTTCAGGCATTACCAAAAAGGGTCTGTGCAAGGCTGTTGTTCTCCACGTAGTTGTAGACCAGCATCTTTTGGCCTCCATCGACGCAGCAGCCATGCAGTTTGACTAGGTTGTGATGAGTTATGCTGGATATGACACTCAGCTCATTCAAGAACTCCTTTGTTCCTTGCCTCGACTCTGAGGAGAGCACCTTGATGGCAACCTTCTCGCCGTTGTTCAGTTTTCCCTGCACAGTTCAGATCAAAATATGAGCTCATAAAAAGGATGCGTGTTCTTCCTAAAATTGCAGCAAATTCCTCTGAGATTCCTGTGTTCCAGTCAGGAACATAATTGGGCTGATATCTGAACTAGGCTACATCAGAGATATTGGAGCAACCTACCAGGTAGACACGGCCGAAAGAACCCTGTCCAAGCTTGTTTCCCGGGGAGAAGTTTCTTGTGGCTTTTCTCAGCTCCTTGGACGAGTAGATTTTCACATTGCCTGCGATTGGGATGTCTGCGAACAGAATCGAGTGAACTACAGTAAGGTTCTGAGATGCTTCAGAAGGACAGCACTCGATTGAAAGGAAAAGTTTACCTTGGTCACGTTGCACAATCTGACTTCTGGAATTCTTCTTCCTCCACAACACAGGGAAGCAACCCATTACTATTGTTTCGAGCTCTCTTCTTTGGAATTCAGATCTTCAGATATGGAAAGAAGATGCTGGTAGCTACCTGAGCAAGAAATTAGTCAGTGGGTTTGAACTTTGAAGAGACCAATCAGGAACCCCATGGTGACACTCAGAAGTCAAAAACTGCTAGTTTTAGCAACTTTATTCTTTCTGTGAGAGAGATGAAAATAAAGAGTTGGAGATCGCATCCAAGTTTGCATATTCGTACAAAGCTCACACCTCGGAATGAGTTAAAAGTGTATATGGTAAAAACAAAACTGATTCAAGAATTTCATGTTTGACCAACAAAATTCAGGGGAAGAAAAGTGTCAATTGTCACCCTGAACACTGAAATACAGAGTAAACAGATTTGCAGGATACCCTCTAAACTACAAGAAATCAAGAAACCAACATATCTTCTTTTTTTTTTTGAAGGAAAAGAAACCAGCATATCTAGTCAGAGAACTGAGCCGACTCAGAAAACTAGAGAAGGAAACCTAGAAGAAAAACTCACCTGGAGATTGATTGCTCAGTGGAAGACTTCAGTGTGACGGTATGAAGTCTGCATAAAGGAGCCAAGAACATCGAGCGCCCAGCAAGGAATTCTTGGAAGGTAGTAAGGGAAGATAGAGGAGAGATATGTTTCTGCAAGACTTGCAATGGCAGAAGGAGAAGACCAGCGCGGTTGTGCCATAAATACATGACAATCCAGGTAAGGACCCACTGGGACTGACCAGGCTTGTTCTCTTCTGACCTTGGAGAGTTCAGTTTTTCTTGCAACTTGACAGGGTACAGCATGGAAGACTTGCGCCCAGGTCACGAGCCAGGAACCATAAAATAAGCGAGGGTCAGAAGATGCCAAGATGATAGACAAGTTTGAGCTATTTTGTAATCTGATAGGTGTGGATGCTCTGGAGCTGTTGACTGTGGTTTGTGAAGCTGCAGTGTTTCTGTTCACATCTTAAGTAGGAGTACTGGCCCTGTTCGCTGGTCTTATAATCCGTACTTTTTAGCTTGTTTTTTCAGCCGAAACAGTGTTTTTCTCTCACAACAAATGAGCCGGAACAGTGTTTCGGCTTGTTTTTTCAGTGGAGCGAACGGGGCCATTAATATTAGATCATGTTTAGTTATGCTATTGATGAACTTATCACTGAGCAAACACATGTTACCGAGTACAATTGTGCAGCTCAGGTCTTTAGATACCATGTGTGCTCAAAGACCATATAAATTGGTCATTATAAAATTACCTTAATAAAATGATCTTTGTAAATAAGAAATGGGTCAATGACTTAGCCTTGGAAAAGCATGTAGTTTTTGTATTATCATCAATTCCACTGTACAATCATTGACTTTGCCCACACGCTTGTATTGTACCTTTTTTTTTTGAACGCAATGGCAGGAGCTCTGCCTTTCAATTAAGATAGAGAAAGAAAGTTTATGTACAATCAAGGACACTTGAGATTAGGATTTCAACCCCCCACAAGCATGCAAAGTAGGGAAACGCACAGCCCAAAAGGGTTGGGGCAGCAGCTAAACATAATCGAGTGCTCTCTTCCTTTGCTCTATGTCTTCTTTTATCCTTGCGGCCACTTGCAGCACCGTTTCTATCTTGTTGTCGAAGATTATCCTATTTCTCTCTTTCCAAATATTCCAAAAGGTGTAGATTACTACCCCGTTAAGCCGCCTACGCTCGGATCTTGGCAGTTTCCTCGCCACCTCTTCCCACCACGAATTGATATTGGTGGGGTCCACCTGGGGTTGCTGTAGAAGTTGAGTGAAGTTTTCCCACGAAAGGATTTGATCACAAACTGCCTTTGCAAAAGGGCAACATAGGCATAGGTGGAGGCCGGTCTCTAAGGGTCCATTGCAGAGCACGCATTGTTGTTGGTGTGGCCACCCTCTCCTCTGTAGGTTTTGCGCCGTTAGAATTTTATCTTGCACTAAGATCCAGGCGAAGATCTTGCACCTGTTCTCCACATGCGCTTTCCAGATCAAATCCGTACGGAAGGGGACAAGCGAGCCTTTGAATTGTATTCTGTAGGCCGAGCGGGTGGAGTAGTTCCCATCATTGGTCCATCGCCAGATGATGGTGTCCTGGACGCCCTGTTGTAGGTGCACATCTTGTATCCGTATCCAAAGGGACACAAACTCCTCTATGTGGACAGCCGAGGTGATTTTCCTTCCTAGCTTGTGCATCCAATTGTTGTTCCGGAGCTCTTGTTGCACCGTTCGGTTTCTCCTTGCAACTAGGCGAAACAAGTTCGGGGCTAGATACCTAGAAGCTTGTCCATCGAGCCAATTGTGGTGCCAAAACTTAGTCTTTGCAATGTCCCCCAAAGTAATAATGATTGAGTTGAAGAGGAGACGATCATCATCAGAACATGGAAGCTCCGAGCCGCTCCAAGACTTGGAATCGTCCACCCATTCCTGCCAAAGCCATCGCAACCGGAGGGCTCTCCCAAATCTATCAAGGTCGGGGACGCCTAAACCACCAAGGTCTTTTGGCCTGGTAACTGTACGCCAGTTAACAAGGCAGTGTCCGCCATTGGCATTCTCCTCCCCCTTCCACAGGAACAATCTCCTGATTTTGTCGATCTTTTTCTTAGCCCATGCAACCAGAGGAAACACCGTCAGGTGGTAGGTTGGCATGGAGGAGAGGACAGAGGTCACTAGAGTGAGGCGTCCCGCTCTGTTAAGCCATCTTCCTTCCCACTTGGGTAACCTTTACCCAATACGGTCTATGAGAGGTTGCACATGGATCTTTTGCAGCGATCTGATGTGGAGTTGCAGCCCCAAATACTTGCATGGGAAGCTCCCTCTAGTACCGGTGAAAGGTGAGAGAACTTGGTCTAGGTGTACGTTTGCGCAGCTGATCGGATGCACTGAGCTCTTTTGTAGGTTAATATGGAGACCCAAGAATGTGCCAAAAGCATGTAGGATGGTTTTGACGGCTTCTACATCGTCTTTTGTTGGGCTGATGAAAATGGCCGCATCGTCCGCATACATGGAGGTTCTCCATTTTGCCGCCGTGATTGGTAAGGGGGTGAGTATCCCATGTTCGGTTGCCCGGTCAAGCAAACGTTGAAGCGGGTCCATAGCTAGGATGAATAACATGGGTAAGAGTGGATCTCCCTGCCGGACGCCTCTGGCATGGCTAAAAGTGGCACCCTGCCGCCCATTAAGCAAGGGTGTGGAAGTGGATGTACGTAGAAGGATAGAGATCCATTCACTCCATCGTTGTTCGAAGCCCAGAGCCTGTAGAATCTCGAGCAGGTACCCCCAATGGACCGTATCAAAAGCTTTGTGGATGTCTAGTTTCATGAACAAAGCTGGTATCTTCTGCTTGTGTAGCCTTTGTACCGCGCCCTGGACGTAAAGGAAATTATCATGGATGCTTCTCTTTTTTATAAATGCGCTCTGGCAGTTGGAGACGAGGGAGTTCAGTCGAGGGGCAAGTCTGTTAGCTAACACTTTGGAGAAGATCTTTGCAATGCTATGGACGAGGCTGATGGGTCTAAAATCAGTAACTCTTGTTGCATCTGTTTTTTTGGGTAGAAGGATGATGCAAGCCGAGTTTAGCCATTCAAAGCCCTGGGCATTCAATGTGAATAGGCTGTTCATGGCTGCCATAACATCATCCTTAATGATTTCCCAACAAGCTTTGAAGAAGGCACCCGTGAAGCCATCCGGTCCTGGCGCTTTGTCGGAAGGCATGGAATATATAGTGTTTTTTATCTCTTCCTAGGAGAAAGGCACCTCCAGATCGGAGAGATCATGATGGTTGTAGCCAAGGGATTGTTAATTGACTGTGGAAGCTCTCGGAGCCGCGGAGCCAATGTGATTTTTGAAATAATCTCGAATCACCTTTTCTTCTCTTGATGAGCCATCACGATCCCCCCATCCGTATGTAGACAATGTATGTAATTCTTTCTCTGGCATGCATTGGCTCTACTGTGGAAGAATTTAGTGTTAGCATCTCCACACCGTATGTATGTTAGTCTCGATCTCTGTCTGATTCTTGATTTTTCGATGGCTGCGAGCCCAGTGCTACGGTCTTTGAGGCGGCGACATAGGTGAAGATCCATGGCAGTGAGCAACCTATGCTCTTGGGCTGCTTCTAATTGTAACAGTACTTCTTTCACTATGGCGAGCTGCATCCTCGTATCCCCTATCTTGTCTTTCTTCCAACGCTTGATACCTTTTGCCACACGTGCCAATTTGATATGCAAGCGTTTCATAGGAAGAGCGGAGGCGACCGTCCTATTCCAAGTGTTTTGGACAAGATCTTGAAAGCCTTCCATCTTAGTCCAGTAATTTTCGAAGCGGAAGGACGTGTTATGATGGTGGTCAAGTTCTCCCTGGAGTAGCAGCGGGGTATGGTCCGACATGAGCGATGGAAGGGAGTGTAAGAAACAGAGGGGAAGAACAGCTCCCACTCGGGGGTACATAGTAGTCTGTCAATTCTAGTGAGCGTCGGGTTGTCCTGTTGATTGCTCCAAGTGAAGCGGCGTCCATTTAGCTTGATTTCTTTGAGCCTCAAATGATCGATCGTCACTCTAAATGCCCCATGAGGCGCCGGTTTAGATTGGAGTTGTTCTTGTCTTCTGCCTGGTAGATGAGATTGAAATCTCCCAGGATGAGACATCTATCATTCTCCGGCGGGGGAATGTTCTTCAATTCTTGGAGGAATTGAAGTTTGGCTACCTCTCCTTGCGGGCCGTATACCACTGTAATTTGCCACCTTGCTCCATCTACCCTCATGTTGATCTGCGCGGTTATAGCGTTCGAGGTAAGTACAATGTCGGAGAGGTCGAAGAAGTCTTCGTTGACCGCAAGGAAGACACCCCCTCGGGTCTGTTCCACCGGGAGCGCAATATAGGAGTTTACAAATTTCGCTCCGACTGTTTGGCGCACCACATTATGATCCTTAACTTGCATCTTTGTTTCTTGTAGACAAACGATGGTGGCGCCAGTAGTTCTCACTAACTCACTGA